AGAATTCGCTGAGATGGGAGCGGGAATGAATCTGATGGCTAGACCGTACTAATTCACAGCCAGTTGCTTCTGGTCTACGCAGCCAACGAACGACCTGTCCTACATTAACCGGGTAGACCTTAAAGGATGCATCCCCTGAATTTGTTATTGTTTGCTATTAAAATATAATTTCCTCTTTCTTTTTAATTATTATAATAATAAGTTGACATGATTCATCAACTCGGTTTACAACCATTTGTGTCATCTAGGGATGTTCGATATTGGATTTCTTACCCCTTTTCTGATATACAGGTCTGTCTCAAAAAATTAGCATATTGTGATGAAGTTCATTATTTTCTGTAATGTACTGATAAACATTAGACTTTCATATATATTAGATTAATTACACACAACTGAAGTAGTTCAGGCCTTTTATTGTTTCTAATATTGATGATTTTGGCACACAACTCATGACAACCGAAAATTCCTATCTCAAAAAATTAGCATATCATGAAAAGGTTCTCTAAACGAGTTATTAACCTAATCATCTGAATCAATTAATTAACTCTAAACACCTGCAAAAGATTCCTGAGGCTTTTAAAAACTCCCAGCCTGGTTCATTACTCAAAACAGCAATCATGGGTAAGACTGCCGACCTGACTGCTGTCCAGAAGGCCATCATTGACACCCTCAAGCAAAAGGGTAAGACACAGAAAGAAATTCCTGAACGAATAGGCTGTTCCCAGAGTGCTGTATCAAGGCACCTCAGTGGGAAGTCTGTGGGAAGGAAAAAGTGTGGCAGAAAATGCTGCAAAATGAGAAGAGGTGACCGGACCCTGAGGAAGATTGTGGAGAAGGACCGATTCCAGACCTTGGGGGACCTGCGGAAGCAGTGGACTGAATCTGGAGTAGAAACATCCAGAGCCACCATGCACAGGCGTGTGCAGGAAATGGGCTACAGGTGCCGCATTCCCCAGGTCAAGCCACTTTTGAACCAGAAACAGCGGCAGAAGCGCCTGACCTGGGCTACAGAGAAGCAGCACTGGATTGTTGCTCATCGGTCCAAAGTACTTTTTTCTGATGAAAGCAAATTTTGCGTGTCATTCGGAAATCAAGGTGCCAGAGTCTGGAGGAAGACTGGGCAGAGGGAAATGCCAAAATGCCTGAAGTCCAGTGTCAAGTACCCACAGTCAGTGATGGTCTGGGTTGCCATGTCAGCTGCTGGTGTTGGTCCACTGTGTTTTATCAAGGGCAGGGTCAATGCAGCTAGCTATCAGGAGATTTTGGAGCACTTCATGCTTCCATCTGCTGAAAAGCTTTATGGAGATGAAGATTTCATTTTTCAGCACGACCTGACACCTGCTCACAGTGCCAAAACCACTGGTGAATGGTTTACGGACCATGGTATTACTGTGCTCAATTGGCCTGCCAACTCTCCTGACCTGAACTCCATAGAGAATCTGTGGGACATTGTGAAGAGAAAGTTGAGAGCTGCAAGATCCAACACTCTGGATGAGCTTAAGGCCGCTATCGAAGCATCCTGGGCCTCCATAACACCTCAGCAGTGCCACTGGCTGATGGCCTCCATGCCACGCCGCATTGACGCAGTCATTTCTGCAAAAGGATTCCCGACCGAGTGCATAACAGAACATAATTATTTGAAGGTTGACTTTTTTTGTATTAAACACTTTTCTTTTATTGGTCGGATGAAATATGCTAATTTTTTTAGATGGGAATTTTTGGTTTTCATGAGCTCTATGCCAAAATCATCAACATTAGAAACAATAAAAGGCTTGAACTACTTCAGTTGTGTGTAATGAATCTAATATATACGAAAGTCTAATGTTTATCAGTACATTACAGACATTAATGAACTTTATCACAATATGCAACTTTTTTGAGAAGGACCTGTAGTCTACTCTTCAGAACCACCTTTTATGTTGCTATATGCTATAATCATGTTGAGCGCATTAAACTGGAACGTTTGTTAATAAAAAGTACATTTGTGAATTCCCATGTTGCACACATCGATGATCGATTCTTTTTTCCAACCATTTAAGTTTAGACGTATTTATACTTTAATTTTTAAATTACTGAGTGAGTCATATTTTCAATTGTCCGTCAAAGCAGCAGTAAACAGCGTTTACATGACTCAAGGAGAACTTGGTACAAGCCACAACAGTTCATTTTTTTATAGCTCACAGCATCTGAAAAATGTGAATCAGTCGTGACTCATTCCATCAGATCGAATGGTTTGTACCACAGACCGGGGGTGTTTTACAGACTCTTACTTTCCAGCTTGATTGACAAGGTGCTCAGCAACTCAACTTATGTCCAAGCAACTCTAAATTACTTTCTTAAGTGGGATTAAGACAGGATTTTCTCATATGGATGTCCCATAAAGTAGCTTCTGGAATGAGTCATGCAGAAGTTGTTCAGTTCAGCTCAGCTCAGGCTGAAGATCCAGTCCCATGGGTTCTCTGTTGCTGCTGCTTAATAAACTGTCAACTCTGCCAACTGTTTTATGTTGCTCCGTTGTGCTTTTATTTCAGCGCAGTCACAAAGGAGCAAATGGAAGCTTATGTTTAAAGATAATGTAAAGAAGCAACCATTTCCCCCCTAAATGCATACGTGTGAGTCATTGTTTTCACTTTGATGTGCTAATATGGTCAAGTGTGTGTGTGTGTGTGTGTGTGTGTGCGTGTGTGTGTGTGTGTGTGTGTGTGTGTGTGTGCGTGCGTGCGTGCGTGCGTGCGTGCGTGCGTGTGCGTGTGTGTGGGGGAGGGGGGGGGTGTAATATCCGCAGAGATTACAGTCACCTGCTTGAGAATGTTACTCTGGAAAAATAAACAACAATAAATAAGTAAATAAGCATTATCAGTTATCAGCTAGTGTCCAAATGAAAATGACTGAATTTGATATAATTAGACTCTCATCACTTGTTTCTGCAGACTTGTAATATTCTTGAATCAGTTCAGTTTTGTTTGAATATATGACCAAAGTTTGGCCCGTGTCACACTTTAAGCACACTTGTGCAACGTTGACGCTGTCCAATTAGCACCTTGATATGCCACATCTGTGATGTGGGACGACTTATGGGCCATTCCCATCTGTACCGGGTCGGCCCGAGCCGGGTAGCCCCAGTCAGCCCCAACCTGGCCCGGTTGATTCCACACATCCTTGCCTTAAGCCCATGTGGGCTGATTCTACCCACCAATCAGAGGCTTGCTCTAATGGAAGGTGTGAATTTGCTGTCAGCAGTGGGTGTGTTGGCCCTGGTCGGCCTGAAGCAGACCCCCTCGAGAAGAGGGCTGAGAATGAGCCTTGGTTGGCCCGGAAAAATACCAGGCCACCCAGATATGTAAACAACCTACGCTACCCGGCCCGGGCCGACCCGGTACAGATGGGAATGGCCCATAACTTGGTAAAGGAGACGTGCTCATTAACACAGATTTAGTCAGATTTGTCTATAATATTTGAAAGTAATGGGTTTGTAAAAGTGTATGTAGAAAATGTTTCTCATTTTTGATCTTAGCTTGTAAAAAATGGGACCAAAACAAAAAATGTTGTGTTTATATTTTTGTTCAGTTCATTTTATCTCAATTTTTGACACTGTTCCTCTTAAACACACGCTTAAATCATGTAAAAATGAATAAAGAAGAATAATACATACAAATAATACATAATGTGTGACTATACTACTATTATTAAAAACTATAATAATAACAATAAAGCATTACACTACAAGAGACTTTAAATCCATCTTAGGTCGGGGACACACCGGCCGCCGAAGCGCTTGGGAGGCGAAGCGCTCACGAAATTCGGCCGCTGCTCGCTGCCCCTCAGTTCAGACCAGCACTTTTTTAGTGCTTCGTTTGTGCTGATTTTTGCAGGTAAAACTGACGTCTGTGCTGCAATGGTTCCTGAGATATTACGAGTTTGCGGCGCTTCGGCGGCCCATGTGGTCTATAGAACAGGATAACAAGGGCGCCGAATGAAGGCGGTCCCCGTTTCGCGGCGCTTCGGCGGCCGGTGTGTCCCCGGCGTTAAACGCTGAATGTGGACACATTTTTTTTAACAACTTTGTTAAATCCAGTTTTCCACATGATCAAAATTCAATGTCATCTTTGATTTCAGGAAGAAAAAGAAAGTAAAACCATGAAATTGGACAAATTGAGAGCTGCTTCCTAAACAGGAAGATGATTGGAAACCAGCAGTCCTCTGAGAAAACCAAAGCCGGAGTCTGTTCTACCCAGACAGTTCAGAGTAGCCGCAAAGGTTTTGATAGATGAGTCTGAGATGCCACCTAGTGATTCTGATAAGACTGGCCCGGTCAAACGATCACTGGCTCAGTTTCCTGACTCAGCAGACAGAGATGAGTGGGACAGGTTGCCATGGCAACATCAGGCATAGAGAAAGAGAGCTGAGATGGAAATGAAAGAGGAATCAAGTAAAGGAGGAAAACATCACAGAGATGACACACTAAACTTGCTCCACGATTTACTCAAACATCCATGGGAGATAAGCTATTACTCCCAAAGCTCGTCCTAATCCCACCGTCACTAACGGAGGGAGAGATGAAAAGTTTATTAGACAGGAATTTAAAGCTGTGCGTTCCTCTCTTTTGGAGAATGTTGTTGTGACGGTGTGCACCTTTGTGTTTGTGCACAGATGTATAAAGATGAAGTGGTTTAGAAGCCAGAGTCTGTGGGATGTGGAGCTGAGAGTCCAGCCCACTCCCGCCACGGACGATCATGCCGTTCTTTAAAAAGACCGAACAACTTCGTGCAGCTAAAGAATGAATCAAAAATAAGAGGAACAATGATAATCCCCCTTTTTCGATCAAGAACATGACCCACGTTTTCAAATAGCAAGGGTTGGACTCAAAGCATGTGCTGAAACCTGCCAAAGGGGGACTTGGGGGATAATGTTAATGTTTTATTTTCACACAAATAACTGAGATGTAAAAGTTTGCAGGTTCTCTCCCTCCTGCCTGGTGTTGGAAGAGCAAAACATCCTACCTGTTCAGGCCTAAGAGGGTTTGATGTGGGGGCGCGCCGCTTTGGTCGGTCTGTGTGTCAGCCTAGATATCAAAGGTGGGTGGAGCTTATATCCCCAGGTGGCGCCCCGTTGTTGCTCAGGTTCATCTCTGCGTCCTTGTAGCTCCTCCCCCTTCAGGCTGTTTTGAGGCAGTTATGGACGCCACGTTGTGCTGAACATGTTTGTTTGATGCTCACTTCCGTTTTTGGTTTTGCCTCTTTATGAAACTCCACGTTTGATTTTTCAAGTCGACTCTTTGGGTGATGTCATCATTTGGTTTTTCCTGTGAGGGGAAATAGGAAGAAAAAATCAGACAAGGTTTCAAAATAAAAGCTTAAAAAGGCTTGTATTTTTAACTAATAATACTAATTTAAATAATAACAAATTTTAATTTGTCTACCTTAAAATATCATCCTTTTCAAACGTGTGCATAAACAAATGTGTACTTCCTGTTTCATTTACTTCTGTGTGTCCTCTCTTTCCTCTCATGCCCTCTTTCTCTCTCTCGTCCATCCTGGCAAACAAAGTGAGAGCCAAGGGTGAATTAACAAAGAGGTGAAAGTAGAGCAAAACTCCCTGAGGCCCGCCTTTTCTGGGACGCTCACAGAGAGACGTTCAAGACAACACGATCTACAGAACGGTGGGAGGGATGTGGCTTTTTGTGGTGATGAAAGGAGAAGATGAAGCCACAACAAAGTGATGACAAGCACGTCATCGTTCACAGCCAGAGGAGGAAGAGAGGAAACGGAGAAGAAACGAGAAACAACCATGGGTAAAAGTGCTGTCCTGCTGAGAAACCCCCAGGAGTTCAACATCAACATTTCCTGTGGGACCAAAAAGGTTCCTGGTTTCAGTGAAACTCCATTTGCTTGATGCAAGAAGAAGCTGAACAAATGACAGGCATCCTTGACCAGAGGCAAAGGTTTTCCGTGGGTTTTAGTTGGTAATTAATTTAAATATTTTTAATGTTTGGATGATGTCGACTTCTTAAGCCTAATTTATACTTCTCCGTCTGCGTCGGGATGGAGACACGCAACGCCATTTTGCATCGAGGCAAGAGTCCTCCGACGGGCTTGCAGAGGAAGACGGAGACACGCCCCGAATTTCAACTATCCGTCGGCAAGCTTGTGATTGGTCAGGATGCTGCTTCCTGTTTTCATCCATCAACAGCACCGCCTTTACCGCTTCAAAAAGTAAAGCGATAGTTAGCGGCAGACACAGAACAGGTTGAAGAACGCACTGAAAGTGTGAACGGTTATTCATCCGACCGAAGGAGTACAAAGATATCCAGCAAGTGTTTTATTCGTGGACGGAAAATACGAAAAAAAAGTGGGTTTAGAGGTGCCGATCGCGTGAAGAGGCAGAGAGGAATGAGGGACAAATTTGTTCGAGTTCAAAGGTCTCTGAAACACATGAAAACAATATAAACACACAGGAAAATACACTATTGTGGACCGGATCTGTGACTGTAATGGTGGCAGGATACCTCAGAATAACACTACGCCCTCTGTTGTCTTGGCAGGGAATTGTTTTGCAACGCTCCCCAGCTGACGGAGAAGTCTGAAAGCAAAACATCTCTGTCAACGCGTGTGCGCCTCCTCCCTAACGGAGCTGACGGTGAAGAATAAATTAGGGTTTAGCTCCTAAGAACTGTGCCCTTCTGCTCTTGCTGGGGAGGTTCGCAGACGGGTGTGAAGCGACCCGGATAAAGATCAGCAACTCCAAATCCATGGTCTGGGTTCTTGATCGGAAAAGAGTGGATTGCCAACTCCATCTTGGAGGAGAGGTCCTACCTCAAGCGGGGGAGTTTAAAGAGCAAGTCACCCCCAAATCAACTCTTTGTTGCTGATAAACTATATAAAACTATATAAATGAGTGTCTAATGTTAGTTAATATTTTAATATTCTGTCTAAAACTGTCCGTGTTGCGCCCTCTTCAAGTAAAAAATCTTGTAGTCGATATAATTACTGAGGTCACCGAGAAATATTGAGTCACGTTTCTGACTTTTACACACACAATAGAAATTACCATTCACTTACACTGTTTATGCTAAGCTAAAGCTAACAGAATTCTGCCAAAGCAGGAGAATGGCTGGGCTCCATGCAAAATACTTTTTTCCCCACTTACCGGTATCTAACTTTGCAGAATATGGAAACAGACTAAATTTACTTAGGAGCGGAAAGTTGTTTAAGACAAGCAGCCACAATGAGTTTCCTCGCTCTGCCTCAGAGAGGAGAGGGTGAGGAGCTCGGACATTTGGGAGAGACTCCTCCTCCCCGTTGAGAGGAGCCAACTGAGGTGGTGTGGGAATTTGATGAAAATGCTTCATGGACGACGCAGGGGAGGGGATTCTGGTATGTCCTGCTAGCAGGAGGCCCTCGGGTCCACCCAGGACATGCTGGAGGGATTATATCTCCACGTTGGCATGGAAACGCCTGGTGATCCTGCCGCTGCAGCTGGTGGAGGTTGTTGAAAGAGTGAAAACTGTCACTATCTGAACTCTATTATTCTTTTATAGAGAGTATTATCACATTTTCCATCCCCTGTTGGTTTTATTCTGTCAGCCTGCAGTATAGAAACCGTCTACAAAGCACCGTCAAGGTGTGCTCTCGGATCATTGGACTACCACTGCGAAGCTTAACTTCTCAATGTGACCAGCATACAGGAAGTTTAGCACAGAAAATGATTAAAGACCCATCACACCCTCTTCATACTGTTTTCCAGTGGCTGCCCTCCAAACGCCGACTTCGATGCCCATGCTGTAAAACACAGAGGAGGAGAAGTTCCTTTGTTCGCAGAGCTGTGCTTCTTCTTAATTCTCAGTGCAGATAGGGGGAGTGTGCATTACTTGTATGTGTGCGTGCATGTAGTTACATGTGTGTGTGTGTGTGTGAGCCAAAGTTTTAATCGTTGTTGCTCATTCACATGTGAGTTTATGACATGATTGTGTATATAGGTTTTTATGGGTTTTACAAATGTGTAATTTGGATGTGTTTTTAGAAATTAGAGATTTTAGTGCCGGCTGCTTCACAATGCTGTCTCGAATTGCCCCTCGGGGACTAATAAAGTTGTCTTGAGTCTTGAACTCGGAAGACCCGTGATGACTCCAAACACAGTAAGAGTTAAATAACAAGTCTTTATTATATGTGGAGTTACCAGAGGTCTGAGGTGGGAATTGTCCGATCGGGAAATCCAGACGGCGAGGTCGGGGACGGAGCAGGGTTCTGGATCTTCGATGGCAAGGTGAGTAACGGCTGAAGAATTTACTGGCAAGAAGCGTTCAATAATCTGGTGATGGTTGAAGAGCAGGCTGGGGTTTAAATAGTAGAGGAAACAGGTGGGATGAATGAAGTTGATTGTGGTTGCCAGGGAAACAGGGCTTGGCTGGAGCTTGATGAGGGGACCAGGTGTGCGGCATAAAGGCTGAAGGCTTGATGAGAAGGCAGAGGAGGGTGAAAGATTGGGAGTCATGACAAAAACAGACTTTTTTCTCATAATCTTTGGATCATTCCTTTGCTTCTCATTAGTCGTCTGTACACCCATGGATGTAATTTTCACTTTAGAAGTGGGGGGGACACGTGTGTGTGTGTGGGGGGGGGGGGGGGGGGGGGGTCTTTACAGTATGTTCTAATGGGAAACAGGCTTCAACACAAATGGTTGTTTTCTGCTTGGTCCTAGAGCTCAACCAGTGCCAATTTAATATAAAGTATTGGTGAAAAGTGCAGGGGTGAAAACTTGACTTTGGAGAAAGTGGGGGGGGGGGCATGTTCCCCACCCCCACCCCCCACCCCCTCCAAAATTATGTCCATGTGTACACCCCTTCCCATCGCTATTCTCCCTCACATCTACTTCCTGTCTCCCTGTCACAAAAGTTTGAAGTCGAAACTTTAAATAGCATCCCTGCCTCGGTGCCTGCAAAGTCAAACAGCGTGTCTTATTCCTGGATTAGGCGCTAAAGCACCAACAGTTACTTACACTGACAGAGGGTAAGTGTTGCTGTTAATTACAGAAAACAAAACAACTTGTGAGCAGCTCCGCCTCTTTAAGCGAGCAAAAGAGGAAGTTCCTCAGGAGTTCCATCGTGATTCAAAGTGCAGCGGGCACAGTCAGACGCCGGGGATCGAGCCACCAGCTGTTCAACTGCTCTCTGGATTTTCTAACGAGTCTGCAAACCGCTGAGGTTTTTATCCTCTCAACTCTTTCATTTTCCTTTTCTTTCACTTGTCAATCACTGTTTTTCTCTCATTTGTGCATCATAAGCACCCAAAAACTTAACGAATGACAGAAAGTTAATTGTCCTTTGACGCGTGGACTGTTTGATCTTCTAACAAAATGCATTGAACTTAACTGAAAATAAAATAAACAAATAAACGAGAAAATGCAGCTTCATAACATCTAGAAGAATAAATACTGATAAAAGCTGCAACTTGGAGGTTTTCCTCGCTGATGGAAATGTGATGATTCTGTTGGTGGAACAAGAATCTGCTTTACAGCCAAACGAGTGCGCTGCTGCCAAGGAGAGACAAAAGCAACAACATAACAAACGCAGCAGAAGGTAAGGGCTTAGGAAAGATTTAGGAATTAAACTTTAAATATCACCAGTCGATAACGTGAGATAAATACCGAGCAAACAGCAAAATGGCAGGCGTGAACACATTTGGGAAGAAGAACGGGCAAGTTAGATGTAGAGCAAGAAGGAAAACACGACGTGGGAAACAGGAGAGTCAGAGCAAGAAGCAGGAAGGGGAGAAAAGAAGAGAGCCTCTTGCAGATGCCCAGGGGGTATGCTATCCCAGAATGCTCCGCTCTAACCTACTTTGGTATTTCTGTTTCTTTGTCTCTACAGCACTCTGAGTGGGCTATCGCTACGCCATACACAACTCAGTTTTTTCTGATGGCTTAAACCATAACTGTGATTCTTATAGCACCATTTCTAAAACTATTAATACTTATATCAAGCCTATGCTGTCGAGAGCCCACCTGGAGTGGGAACTCCATGCTTTTGTAATTTTTAGACTTGATTACTGCAACTCTCTACATGCAGGGTTGTGTCAATCTTCACTGCATCGCCTACAGGTTGTGCAGAACAGCGCAGCCAGGTTCCTGACTGGGACCAGGAAATGGGACCACATCAGTCCGGTTCTGGCCTCGCTGCACTGGCTTCCGGTCTGTTATCGTTCACACTTTAAACTCCACATCTTTGTTTACAATTTCTTCCAGGGTGGTGCTCCCCCCTGTCTAGCCTCACTCCTGAACAGACATTCCCCATCACGCGCTCTGCGC